TGAAGCTTGTATTTGGCACTGAGCAGCACCGGAGAGATATTAAAAGCTATACAATTTGTTGTGACACAAGGCACAACAGGACGAAAGAACCCTAGTAGGAAGGAGAGTGGGTCATGTTCTAGCTTGCCTGTTGCAGCCGCTCCAGAGAGAACCTTCCGTGGGATTGTGAAGAATAAGGAGCTCACGTAGAACAGTGTGATCGGGCACTCTATGACACAGCCAGGAATAGTGTCAAAAAGAGCAGTTATCACTATCATATTTTTAAGTAAGCCATTTGGGTCTTAGAATTAGTGAGATTAAAGGATCTACATTACACCCTCTCCCCACTCTCTCCCATTGACTGTGTTTATATATTACGCACACAAATGCACAGAGTGGTGGCTCCACAATTATCTTGCATTAGCCATCTATAAATGTGACTATTCAGAAACAAAAACTCTAGAAGGATGGATGACAACAGAATTGAGAGAAAAAAAAACAGGTTAATGCTGGAAGGAGCGGCTTGAGAAAGGGGTAATACCGGCTTCAGTAGGGAAAAGATGTGGGCTGCTCAGCAATAAGGAATATTCTTGATGAGAACCAGCAGTTCAGCCCACGTCTGTACACGGTCTGTTTCGATTATGGGGGACATTTTCAAAAGGACCTAAGTGGCTTAGGAGCCTAAGTCCCATTTTCCAAAACAACTTAGGCACTTGAGATTTAAGCTCACATCACTTTCAGGGGTTTTCAAAAAATTTTATCCTGAAAGCTTTTCTGGGCAGGCACCTTGGCCAAAGCTTTACAAAGATTTTTGGGTGCCTCTATTTTTGGATGCCCAACTTGAGTCACCTTAAAGGAGTCTAATTTTCAGAAAGCACTTCACATCCACTTCTGAAAGTCAGGCCCTTTTAAGAGGTCTTAAGTTGGACATCCAAAAATGGAGGCACCCAAAATTACTCGTCACTATGGAAAATCCTGTCCCTTCTCTTTTTATCTGTCTGCAAAACCCCTAGCACACTTCTGGTGCTACATAAATATCATCATAATAATAAATCATTAAAATGAGAACAGGACTCAGGAGAGGTCTCTATGCTCTGTGGAAATATTTATAGTTTTGATAGCAAACCCTGCACATTAGCATAAAGAAACCATTCATGTGTAATAAGCTAAACTAAAAGCCAGTCTTACTATGATCCTTATCTCCATGCACACATTTCCCTAAAAAAGTAAATAGTCTTTCTCACTAAGATCTGCACAACAGGCTGCTTTCCACACTGAGGCAGCACCTGCCTGGTTGTACTTTGCATCAGCAGAATATCAATGATGCTTATTGAAATAATACAAGAAAGCTCTTTTGTGACTCAGAAGGGCAGAAAACTGCAAGAGATTTGCCTTCACTGATACAATATTTTAATTAAATGCACACCAAGAGCACAGGGGCTTCCCACAGCTGCAGGTCTTGCTGGTCCCTACAGCTGGCTCTTTAACATCTGAAAGGGAGAATGGACCTTTGTTTTGTTAGATACAGGCTCTCTTTTCACTGTACATTTTAGGAGAGAGGGCACGCCTGGCCATAATCTGGCGTGTTGCCAATGGGAGCAAACAGAGGCAGTAGAACAATGTGTATATCCTCAATTCAGCTGTCTAGTTAGACATTAGACAGCTCTGCTAATTAGAATCAGACCCTTGTGATTCCACAGTATGCATGCGCCAGTGAGAAATGACATTCTGCTATATATGGCTCTTTGGGCGTTTGTCTTGCGGAGCTGATTTCCTAATTTCACCATGCTGTATGCAACATACAGAAATTCTTTGAGGCATGCAACATCAGGTGGAGAAACAGGGGGTTATATTATATATACACATCTGACAAAGCCTCTTCTCCTTTCTTTTTTAACTTATCCCAAGAGTGTGTTAAGAGTTCTGCTTATGCCCTCCTGTGGTAAAAACATGAAATTATTAATACTAGCCATGGGTAAATGAGCTATGGATTCTCATACAATTTTTTCCCCCACTGGTCCTTTAAGTTCTTGGCTTTAATTCCTGATTTGCACTGGTGTAAGTGAGAGGGGAATCAGACTTTGTTTGTTTATAACTGTTCTGATACTTGGGTTTTATGGTAAAGATTAATCAACCCTTTTATATGGGAGCAAATGCAGAAGGTGTCTTCCTGCTCTATAATAATTCAGCAGATGGACAACATGATTTTTAACTGTAAGTGAATTTTGACTTCAGAATTAATTTTTAAAAAGGGAGCCATTAAGATGAACTAGGGAGGGACCAAAGGTGGTCAAAATTAATACCTAAGGCAGCCCAATGAGTACTCTGTACTAACAAGGAATACTTAAGGCTGAATTTAAATGTCACTGAATAACATGATCATGAGAGTTCCTTATTCAACGATATTTAGTTGACCCCAATAAAGTATGTTCAAACTATTTTATGCGCTTGATAGCAAGATCAAGTGTGCAAAACTTTGGGCCATAAAACATTAAACCAATTTTTTTATCTATTGTAAAAACAGCAACAGGCTAGAACATCAGCATATATGATGCACATGAAAGATAACTGAAAAGGAAGTAAACCTTAAGCAGACTGCCAAACAGTATGTCACATCTGAAAGACATGTAACCTCTCATTTCTTATTTGGGTATCAAGGAATTATCCCAAACACTTCTAATTCTCTGTCATGTTGGTGTATTCACAAAGTTATATTGGTTTAACTAATGCTGTTATTTTAGACTGATTTAGTTCAACAGGTGCAACTTTCCATGTGGACACTCACAGGCCATGTCTACACTAGCAGCACTTTACTAATCTAATAATAATGGGAAAACTATACCAGCAAGGAGCTCCAAGGGTAGATGTAGCTATACCAGCACAGCTGCAATTCATATCAGTATAATTTAAAAATCACCCTCCAGGGACTAAACAAGCTATTCCAGTAAAAGTGCAATTTTCCTAGTATATCTGTATCTACGCTTGGGGCTTCAGCTGGCATGACTCTATCATCCAGAGATCATACCTCTTCATAGCCCTGACCAACACAGCTATGCTGGCAGAGGTCTGTAGTGTACACTGGGCCTTATTTTTGTTCAAACCTGATTTAAATTGGGTTTAGCATGAATCGGTAACATTTCAGGTGCAACTTCTGGGGGTAGACAGGCCCTTAATCATGGCTAAACTTGAAAAAACAACACTCAGAACATTCAGTCTCAGAGAAACATTTAAAAACTATGCTCATAAACAACAGAGCTAGATAAAAATGCCATTTATTTCCCACACACACACAAAAATTGAAAACAAAATGAAAATCGTTTGTTTAGTTCAAATTTTTTGGGTGGCGTTTTCCAATTCTTTAATGTTTTCCTCCTTTCCTCTCCCTCCCGGTTCTTTCCCCTTCGCCCCCGCAGAGGTTTTACAAGTGGATAAACAAAAAAGGGGAGAGAAGGAGGGAGGAACCCCCAAAATGAAGATTTTTCATTTTTGATTTTTAAAAACTGGGAAATTCTGACCATGAAAATTCAGTCAAAAATTCTTTTTTTTTTTTTTTTTAAAAACTGGGAAATTTTGCCCATGAAAATTCAGTAAAAAATTTTTTTTTTTTTTTTTTTTTTG